TTTGTCAAGGAACTCCTGACAGAGTACTGATTTCTTACTAAAATGCAGCATTTCTGTTTGAAGAGGGTGCTCTCATTCTCAGCACTGCCCGGCTTTTGAAAGTCAGTCCTTGTTAAAACTCCAGTTGGCTTTGGTCTAACGCTTGTTAACAGCATTCTGGGTATCTATCTGCTTTAGAGCACGAGCGTAGGAACCTCTCACCGGCGATGTGATCTTCTGAGGCGCGCACAGGCCATGGCGCAGCGTCGGGATGGGCCTTTGGGCCCCGCACACCGGTCATTCCTTTTGCCCTCTGGCTGTGATCGCTCGGGGTTAAAAAGGACTTGGCTTTGGTTGTTAGCGGCATTAATTTTTGACTATTTTTAATATTTTAAAATGGCTAATGAATGCTCACATTTTAGGAGATAGATGTGTGCAGAGCACACAAGAGTGCTGGAATTGGTGGCATTCCAAATAAGTGTCACGGGAGACAATGCATCAGGTTTCCGTGTCAGGTGCAGAGTGCTAAGGCGTCGTCACACCCCGGGGCCGCTCTCAGGCAAGCTCTGTTCTCCCGTCCCCGCCTCGTGCAGAAAAGGAGGTGTGCAGAAAAGGAGGTGTGCGTCTGAAGAGTACAGCGTGTGGGTCTTTTGTGGGAGAGTGGGGAGCACACAGGGCGCGTCTCTTCAGCGAGGACTGTCGGAACCTCGAGTCTGCTCGCCAGGGATTACTTATCCCGCACAACGCATTTAGCAGCAGTTCATCGTAGATCCCCCCCCCCACCCCCCCGCCCCTGAGCCTACTGTAGTCCGTTGACCGTTGATTTACACAGGTACAAATCCTGGGCTCTCAAACAAGGGTCTCTTGCAATTGGCCAGTCATCTGGGGTCCAAAGGGCCCTCTCCCCCCTGGGTGGGCAGCCGTCGCAGAGGGGCGATTACTCCCCTTGCTTGCACCGTGGCTTTCAGGGACAGACCCGTGAAAATGATCAACTTTCCCTAACACTTGGGAGTTGACGGTGACAGGGTGGTTTTTATTTTGCTTTTGGGGGGAGGGGGGCGGAAGACGGGGCCACAGGAGTAGGGGTGGCGAGAAACTTGGCTTCTGTTTTCCTCTGAGTTCGTCGCCCGTGTTTTTATGACACCAGCTAGTGGTAATTCGAGGTATGCTCATTAAGAACTCTCAGTGCAAGCGGAGGAGAAAGGAAAAACGATTCCGTGTTTCTCATGGACTCAACGGCAAGTGGCCTCCAACAACGGCATCAGGTGCTGCGCGCCAGAATTTTCCCTGGCTTGCTGCACTCCCACAACATGTGCAATAAAGTTCCTGTCTCCGTTTTACATCTTTGACATTGAGGCGGAAGATTTGGCCTGAATTTATGTGATTTAGTTGGGCGCAAATATAACCCATGAATAGTCACATTCATCTCCTAATTAGAAAATCAAACGATAATACAGGACAGGCTGCAGGCACCCCATCATTTCGACCAACAAAAGCATGCTGTGTGTCGACCCCTCTGTAGAGGAAGAGCCAGTTGAATTGCTTCATGAAGTTAATGAAAAGTGTCCAACAATAGGTGAATGAGAGCTGCAAGACCCAGTGTGCCCATCAGTTGTTTAGTGCGTTAAAATCTTTGCATTATTAAAGATTTTGGGGAAATCTTTAACCATCTGTGGATGGCTCTCGGGTATGTAAAATTCTGGATTGGACAGGCCTTTCCCCCGTATTGTAGCTCCGGTTCCCGGTGCGGTGGGTGCAGGGCAGAGTGGAGAGTAGCCGAAGAAATAATTAGTGGAAGGAGGAGAGAGGTTTTCCTATCTTCACTCTTACCTGGAGCTGCCTATCTGGGTATCTTTCTTATTCAGCACATTATGTTGAGGCTATTAGTTTGGATGCTTTATATTTTTGCATCTGGCGTAGTGATATCAATGCTGTTAAATATGTGATTTGCCTGTCGCCTGCATTTTCAGACAAAGATCAAGAGGAACATAAACAAGCCCCAAATATACTTTATGTAGGTGTTTTGGCAGCGTGATTTTATATGGCTTGAAATTAGTGAATGGAAACTTTAAAAGAAATTGTTCATATTTTTGCAAGTTTGAAGTGTGCCGGGACTTTGTCAAATTCCCGTTAAAATAAATACGTCAATTTCATCTCCCTTCCGAATTCATTTATCTTGCTTTTTTAAAAGGTGTTTTCTACTTTACCTGATGTTTAAATTGGATTCGCTCGTTTATGCTGTTCTTTGCTATATCCCCCACGTTTTTCTTAAATGAATTACTAATGACAGAGCACTCCATCATTCCCTCTCTACAGCCACTTTAAGGAAAGCATGGTGATCTAAACCTTTTAACCTATTAAAGATGATTTTTCCCAATTGAATCAGACCCACCACAGGTGTAATAACTAATCATTTAAACTACACCTGCTATTATGTATTTTTAAGCCATTATGCGTGTTGGATAGATGATAATTCATGTTTATTGCATTGTCCGATGGATCCGTTTTGCCTACACTAGGCTGATTAATGTATTTAAAGAAATAAGAGATGCAATTTTTAAAAAAAAATTGATGGAATGCGCCAAGCACTGCATTGAGTGCACCATTAAACCCATCAGAACTTTGCTCTCTGACCAGAAATGCATATACCAAGGACTGTATTAAAAAAGCAAGGTGAAACCTGTGCATTTTAGTGGTGGGATTCTGTTTTCTTTCTCTGTCATGGAAAATTTTGGAAGGATGAAGGAAAGGTCGGCGCTTTTGTGGGTAAATGAGGGGAGCTGTGTTGTTAATATCTGCTGCTCAAGACCCGCTCATCTGCGTTCCCTCTGACACCTGGTACGCACACCGCTGTGTGCGGAGACTGCCGTGTGCTACCAGTGTGCTGTAATGGTCATATGTGTGGCAGGTGGATTTTTTCTCCAGGTGAAGGACAGTCACCCCTGAGCCACCCAAGCTATGCCGATAGGCATCGACCCTGTGCGGCCTGTGACTGCGTAGCTGTCCCCCCTTCCTGGACATGGGCTTCTCTCCCTCTGGTCTCTCTCCTTCCTCTCTCCCCACCTCCCCTTCCTGCTTCTCCCCTCCCCTTTTCTTCTGCCTCCCCTCTGCTTTCTCCCCTTGTCCTGTGGCCACTCCTTCCTTCTCCCCAGTCTCTCTTCTGTCCTCTTCTCTCCCTTCTCCCGTCTCTTCATTAAAATGCATCATTTTGTAGGTGTTTGTCAGATTTTTGTCTTAAAGTTTGGTGCGAGCTGAGGAGACCTGGTTGAGGGGGCACGTATGGAGTTTTGGGCTCTAGAATCTGGGGCATCGATTTCGGTCCAGCCCAGAGCTGGTTGGTTACTGCTGCAGCTCCTGACGGGGTTTAATAGGTTTGCAGGGCCCATGGATGGCAGCCGGGATCCGAGAACCCGAGTGCGTCTTACCGCTGATGGGCCCGATTCTGAAGGCCCGGGACACCTGAGTCTGTCCTTTAGAGAGTCTGTCTCCAGCAGGCCTCCAGGGGAGGGATCACGGGGGAAAATATATAAGGGAATCGCCTGGCTTTTTGCTTTTCTTTCTAATTTAGCCTCATCTTTTGTTCCCAGAGAAGTGTGTCTGGTCACAAGATTAAATTCCTATAAAATATGAGACTATTTGTAAGTTGTATTCCATTTGTAGCCACAGTCGCTGCGCAGCTGCTGCCCTTAGTCTGCAGGATCTTAGAAAAGTTCCTTATATTTGGTCCCTTAGAAAATTTTTCCTTCAGTAACTTAGGAAGGAACTCCAGGGTCTGTCGACTTTACCTGTAACACAAGACGATGTTATCCGTTGGGTTTTGATGAGATGAATAATGCCAGTCATTTAAAAGGGCCCCTTTCCTCTCTGGGGCAGGTCTGCACGTTCCCCCCCTTGCACCGGGGGGGACGTACACACGGGGGACGGAACGCACACACGTGGCGTGCAAATACACACCGTGTGTGTGCTGAGTGATGTGAAGGTTAATACCTTCAGCAGTTTGCCTTCCACCCCCTCCTTGGCTTATTTGAAGATATGAAGATTTCATTAAATAATATCATCACCAGAGGTAGGGAGATCATCTGTCAGTCTGTCAGCTTTCAGCCATGAAACCCCAAACTTTGTCCTTTGAAGTCTCTTCAGAATTGAACTCCGTTGCATAAGAGGGGCCAGTGTGAATGGCTGTGTACGTTGTCTCCTATATAACCCCCTGGCCGGCCTGCGCTCAGTGCTCTGCCAGGCTCTGTGGAGGCAGCGTGGTCTTGTCTACAGATGCTTGCAGTGTGGCTGGAGAGGCAGCCCGAGCATTAGAAGGCAGGATAATTATGTCTTCAATTATATGGTACACACTACAGGCATTAAAGAATTTAAGAGAATGGGGAGATCAGAGGTGGCTTGCTTATTTAGGGAAGGCTTCGAGGAGTTAGCATGGGCTATAAAAGGGTTGTGCTGGTGTGTGTGTACATGTGTGCGCGCGCACACACACGATGTTTAGACAGGTAAAGCGGGAAAGGGCGCCTTCTAGAAAAAGGGCATAGCATGAGCACAGGAGCAGTGACATGGATGAGTGTGGCCAGGAGAGGGCTACCTGCAGAGGAGTATGCAGAATCAGCTGGAACAGGGAGAAAAGGAAAAGATTACTGCAGGTCTTAAAAGCTAGGCTGAGGGGATTACTTTTGATAGAATCAGATATAGGAAGCCAGTGGGAACCAACATAGTCTTTTATTTATGTAGATTTTATTTATTTTCCTTTTCTTTGTCTAAAGATTTTATTTTTCAGTAGTCTCTACCTCCCAGCATGAGGCCTCGAACTCATACCCTAAGATCAAGAGTTGGATTCTCCACCAACCGAGCCGGACGCCCCTAGTTAGGGAGATTGTAAATGTGAGAAATCACTGGTTGTAAATTTGACCACAGTGGTGTGCTTATTTCTTTGGACTTGGGGAAAAACTGGTAGGCTTTTGAATCTTGAAATTCAGACCATGGAAGTTTACTTTTCTTCTCTGTTTTATCTCCCCGACCAGATTGCCACAGCAGTGAAGTTTCTACAGAATTCCCGAGTCCGTCAGAGCCCGCTTGCGACCAAGAGAGCGTTCCTTAAGAAGAAAGGTACAGGTTCCCCACAGCCATGATGTGTGGCCTGCAGAAAGGGGCTGGGGACGGGGCAGATGGAAGCCACGGTGTTGCCGAGAGGACTCCCTGTAGCCGTCCTACTACAGAGGGTGGGGGTGTGGGGAGCCCCTCAGGGAGAATGCAGACTTCTTTCCTCACAGTGGAGTGGAGAGGTGATGCCGTCTGGCTGATTGAGTGCCACATACAAGGCCAACAACCTAGCCCGGGACAGCCGGGCACAGGCGGCAAGGAGAGGCCCACTGGATAGGACTATGGAGGACTTCTATTTTCTGGTCTCTTCTTCTGATAATATGACCCTGGCTACACAATGCCTGGCCTCAGGTTAGGAGGTCTGCTGCCTCAGTAAAGAACCAGGGAGAAAGTAATTGAAGGGCGAGGGAAATGAGATGGCTGAACAAGGTCAGGTTAAGGTCAAGCCTGGGGTCAGTCTGATTTACAGATTGAAGTGGTAAATTACTGGTTTTATGGTATTTCTGTAAGCAGGGATTAAATGGGTCTTGACAAATTCAATATTGTCCAGAGCAGAAAGACTCTCTTCTGGCTCTGTTGCAATTTAGGATAATTTTCTTCTTTTTGTAAAATACAAAACAAACCCCCAAACGAACAGCAACAACAACAACAAAAGAAATCTGCCTTTTCATTCTTTGAACATTTAATTTTCTAGAAAGCTGGAAAGTTATATAAAGGCCCTTATACACCATGAGTAGGGGGAGCTGAGGTTCCCCCCACCCCCAACAAAGCTCTTATTCCTTTAGGAGCTGGAATGTCAGCCTCTAAATTGTAGGTTGTGAGCTTTAAGTCATCTGTGGCTGGAATAGAAGACGCAGTGGCTTGGTGGTGTTTCCTGGGTCTGTTATGCCACCAAGGGGATGCTTGCAGGACCATGTCCCTGGCCTGCGCCCTTGCAGTTTCGGCAGAACGAGCCCGAAGCTCTCCATTCGCAGGCATCAGTTCAGGGGCAGCCTCGGGGGCCGGCTGAGCTGGTGAGGGGCGCCGTGCTCCTGGCCTGGTGCTCGGCCCCCGTTCGGAGGCGGTTATTAAAATTTGGAGTGTGTTGGCCAGCCTCTCCACTCCGCAGCCATCATGCCATAAAAGAGTTTTTCCTTGAAATATGTGTACCTATGGGGAGTAATTAATCATAAAAGCTTGGGGATTTCAGCTCCCTCATCAAAGCATGGAAGCTCGGGAAAGCTGAGCCTAAAAGCCGTGCTGATTACCCGGGGAAACCTGAGACAAAATCTATGGTTGCCGAGAGCTCCTTTGCCCCAGTATATTGTGCAGTATTAGAACTGCCTGATCTTCTCTTCTACTGACAATGACCAGTTATTCCTCATTTTCTCTCAAACGCAGCTGGGTTAGAATTTCATTTGCAGAAGGTATTTAGAGCAATTTAGAGACAAATGTCTCTGGTGTTTGCTCGGCACTTCCCCACCGCAGGCTTTGCTGAGCAGTTTTAGTATCAGGAGCTCCATCTAATCTGTTTAATTTTAATAAATCCCTGACTGGGAGAGGGAGAGAGAAAAAAAGAGAGCGGGAGAAACTCTGGACCAAATAATACTTCTTTTGAGTTGGTTGGCTAATAATTACTGTAGAGAGGAAACTGTTTTGTGCAATTATTATTCGTTGCTCCTTTAAAAAACACGGAACAAACCCAGTTGATTAATTAATCCATCTAAGAGTGTTTTACCCCGTACTGTGCCCTCTTCTGGGCCTCCAGGGACTCAGCAGAGAAGGGGAAAGGCAGCATCCCTGCCTTCGCCGAGCTTATGTTCTAACAGCCAAAGGCGGACAACAGATGGAAAAACGAGACATGTAGTATGTCGGGTGGCAAGTGCCACGGAGAGAAAGAAGGCCAGGCGCGTGGGGGTGGGGAGCGCCGTTGCTGGGGTGGGAACGGGCTGCGCTTTTAGACAGGGTGACCGGAGCACGCCTCTGGAAGGGTGGTGTGAGCAGAGGCCAGAGGGAGGGGAGTATCTGTCAGTGCGGAATGGGCACAGTTCCTCCTCGACCCCTGGGTTAGGGGAGAGTGTTTAGAAGTTTAGGGCAGTGGGAGCCGCCAGAGAGGCCTCCCACCCGCCTTCCTCCAAAGAGAGCCACAGGAATTTACCCTGAGCCTCAGTCCAGAATGACTGGACGCAATCACCCGTCTCCATTATCCTCTAAAATGCTTGCTTCAGTCAGTAATTATCTGTTTCCGAGTCGAATCCCAATGGGGTAAGTTCTGGCAGGACCTTTTCTGGGCAGAGGATTCCAAGGTTTGATTGGCGTCTGGGGAAGAAGAGCCCCTTCGTGGATTTACACTTCACTTTTTAAATTTCCGGCTGTTCCTTGGGTCAGGTGTACACAGTCAGCGGAGCTTGGCGCTATTCCTGATGAGGAGAGGGAGGAGGGCCTTTGGTGAAGGAGCAAGTGGCTCCCCTGTCCCTCACTGTATTTGGGAAGGAAAGAGAGTTGGCCGGCTGGTCTGTGGGGGTGGGAGGGTATCCTGGGGGGAGGGACCAAGGTTCTGGCATCCTCCCCGCAGCTTCCCCCCCCCCCCATAGGACTCCTTGCTGGGGGAGGGGGGGCGGTTTGGAGCGCTGGCTTTGGGCGAGCTCGCAGCTACTGTAGTCTTGGCTTTTCCTAGCAAATGTCACTTCGGGGAATTGCAGTGGAGCACTGCCTTGAATTATAATCTTGACTTTCTTTTTTTTAATAAACATCTCTTTCCTGAAAAGGCAAATCCAATTTTGTTTTTCTTTTAATATTATTTAATATTTAATATAGAAATTGAGGTCCCTGTAGTGCATGTCAGTTCAGTGGAAAATGAGGGTTACTTTAGGCACATCAGCTGAGTTTGTTTTAATGTGAAACCACAGCCGGAAGCAGAGCTGAAGGCTGCCGCTGATACTGACAGGTTACATGCTGTGCTCTCAGATTTGGGGGGCTGGGGAGGCGCAGGGTGGGCTAGTGGCCAGTGAGTGGAACAGGCACGCAAGAGAGCTGGCCTGCCAAGGTCTTCTGTGTTTGTGGCCTTTCTTGTTTTTGTATTTTGCGATGTCTTCTGGATGCTTTAAAGTCTGAATATGGAGTCATTAATGAGAAACATGAAGTTATTGGAACCATTTATCATTTTCTTTGAAGTTTGTACCGCCATTTTGTGTAATTTACAACATTTCTTTCTTTTATCGGGAATTTTTTGGATGAAAGAGAAAAGCAGCTGTTCACCTTCAGAGGGTTAGAATAAGGGTTTTTGTTTTCCTTCCAACCACTTGATTCTGCAGATGGCACATCGACTGCAGTCACCCAAACATGGGGATCACCGGGCTATGTGTAGGGCTGAAGCCCTCCTCGATCTGGACCCGCCCACAGAACCCATTCTCACCGTGCAGGCGTCGTGTCTGGGCTTTAAGTGGGCTGCGGTCCAGGAGGTTAGAGTAGCTTAAAAACAGGAATAGAATCGGTCCAGAAAGTTAGAGGCTTGGACAGCGTTGTCAATAGGCTTATGTTGATTTGACACCCTATCCAACCACAGAATGTAGGAGGCAGGCTGCTTCCAAACACGTTGGCAGGCTGAGTGCAAGGTGGGTAAATGTGGTGCCTGTTCGTCCAGGGCACGGGGGCAGGTGGCATGGGGGGGGGTGCAGACAGCGTTGTCTGGTAGCTTACTCTCATATATATGTTGCAAAGCAGGCTTCTAGAAAAACGATGAGCGTCATACACGTTTCTGTATAATCTTGCCTAAAGGGGCCTGGGCAGTGTTGGCTGGGACTTGTGCTTATGGTGGCTTTCTCAAGGGTGTAAGGAAAGGGCTGTGCTCTCGCTCATCTAGTAAATAGTCTGGGGAGGGGGGGTTGGTGGGAGGAAGGGGAGGAGAACTGAGCAGACAAGGCACACCACCATCCTTTCTCATTCTAAAAGGTGAAACAAGATCTTATCTTTCTTCTGTTCCTGGAAGCGGAACCCCCTGGTAGCAGAGCTGCCTCCTTGCTGGAAATGAACTTGAGGAAGAAACCTGATGGTCTCAACCTTGGTAGTGGGGTAGAGGTGAAGGGCTGCTCTCGCCGGAGTATTTTAAGGGGGAGTAAATTCTTACACAGATTTCAATTTAACTCTCTTTTATTACTTTTCTTTTTTATCATTTACGTCCATTTCATGAGGTAGTTTGCATGTCCTTGAATGGAATCTCGTTACCATGAAAGCTTTTTTAGCATTGATTTCATAACAGTCTTAATTTAATAGCTCCGTCATTACTGAGAAGCTCTGGGAGTGGGGCCCTGGCTTTCCAGGTCACTGACCTTTTAATTACAAACCTTGTTCTGATGGCCAGGTTATCGACTGGACAGCTCCCAGCGTGTGCCCCCAGGATGAAAACGAAAATAACTATGTTTCCTCCCCCATCTCCAGGAAAAAAAAAATTGTAACCTCATGTGTTTCTAAAATTAATTTTCTCCTTCAGCTTTACTTTATAATTAATTCTTTAACGTGTCTTAGTGAGGCCAGAGAAGTATTTTTATAACGCTGTTCTTTCTAGAGCTTGGGTCCATCAGAGAGCTTGGAGGGGGCAGGGAAGGGAGATGGAGGTCTCGCCAGCTCCCACTCACCCCATGCTTGACGGTGGCCCATTTCCTCACCCTCGGAGACTCCTGTGGCTGAGCTGGGAGGAATGGTATCGACTCTGTGAGAGGCTGGCTGGCCCTTCCGGTTCTTTGTTAACAGGCGGATCGTGGCATCGAAGATTTAGATTCATTCATGTATTTATGGGAGTAATTGTGCCTTCTCTATCATGAGTGTTTCATTTCATTTATTTATTTTATTTACTTAAAAGATGTTTTGTTTTATTTATTTTTTTAAAGTAATCTCTACCCCCAGTGTGGGACTCGAACCCACGACCCTGAGATCAAGAGTCTCACACTCTACTGGCTGAGCCAGCCAGGTGCCCCCGACACAGATGTTTTAAAAAGACGCTCCCCTTCTGGGCAAAGATAAGGGTTGGGTGACTTTTCTTATTGTCATACCTCTGTGTTAGCCTTAGATGACTGAAAGAAACAAAATAACCTACCTGAGGAGTTCTGCTCGGTCATGAGCTTGAACCGAATACATGATCTGGGTTCTCTCTCACTGATGATGAAGAGAGAAAGAAAAAGGACAGGACAGTGACTGGTAAGTAGGGTGACCACTGGTTCTGGTTTGCCCAAGACTGTCCTGCTTTCAACACTGGAGCTCCTGTGCCCCCCAGGGCTGGGCAAACAGGTCCCCCTGGCAGGGCAAGCCTTCCCCCCGGAGTGAGGGCTAGGAGACACGAGATGGGTGTGTGTGGGAAGCCGGGGGAAGAGGTTCACCAGCAGTCCGTTCCCCGGGGGTCCAGCCGCAGCCCAGCGGCCTTTCCTCCAACACTGCCCGCCGTCACTCCCCCAGGCCCCCTCTGCTGTGGGTCCGGAGCAGAGCCCCTGGGGCGCCCCGCGCCCCGCAGGTGAGTGAGGAGCTGCCGGTGGCCGAGCAGGCAGGGCTGCGTACGGCAGCCTCGGGCTCGTTCCTGAGGATGATTGAGCACCTCCATCCATCTGTTGTGAACGGACCATCTTCCTTCCCTGCCAGTCTTGCATCTGCATATCCGTCACCTGCTGTTTCGGACCAGCCTATTCATCACACTGCTTGGTGATCCCCCCATCAATTTTCCTGCTCCCCTTGCTATCCAGACTTGTCTTCAACTCCAGAGATTTTTTTCCAGCATCCAGGATGCGAGCTGCAGCAGCTGGACCGGCCGAATGTCCTGGAAACAGGGATGCTGTGGCTATTCAGAGGGGAACGAATAGGACTTGCTCCCCCAGAAGGCCGAGCCGAGTAGGTTCCTGCCCTTCACCCTGCCCTGGGGGGCCAGTGGCACGGGGAGCTGGGGGGCGGGGACAAAGCTCTTTGGGGTTTACCTAGTTGCTTTGAAGTTTGCCCTGAACATGACGAATGGTTCCTCTCTTCTTGAGCTTGTGTGTCTGCGGCAATTCCACAAGGAAAGCGGAGTGACATGGTCATGTCCGGTAGTAGTCTTTTTAAAGTGTTTTTTTTTTTTTCTTTGTGGAAAGGTAAGATATGTCTGTGGCTTCCAAAATTCAAACCGTAAAGAAGGATATCCAGTCAGAAATTAGCCTTCCTCCTTTCTCTTGTGCCTGTCCCCTTCATCCTCCTTTCCAGAGGATGCTGCTCTTCATTCACGGTTTCTTACGTATCGTTCCAGAGATAATCTACCCGCATGAAAGCAGGTTAATATTTATTACTCCTCTCAGAGAAACACAAACACTTTTTTCGTGTTTGTGTTTTTTCGTGCAGTGGTGGCATATTTTACAGTTCACCTTTACACTTGACATTACATTTGGGCATTCATTGCACATCAGCACCCACAGATGGGGTTCCTCCTCCTCAGTGGCTGCATGGTACTCCAGGACGACCAGGGACCGGAATGTTTTTGGACCAGTCCCAAATTAGTGGACATTTAGATCGGTTCCTGTCTTTTGTCGTTTCAGACGTGCCCCAGTGGGTGGATGCCCTTGTGCAGACATCGTTGGCACTCTGCTAAAGTACAACTGCTTTGCACACGTGAGAAGGCTAGGGTGTATTTTTCTTGCCTAAAATTTCATGAGACTGTGTCCACCCCCCAGAAAGAATAGGAAACTGTTTTCTAATGTAAACATGACTGTAGGTGGAAAGAAATTAATAAAAGAAAAAAGGCCACCATAACATAGTATCATCTTAGCACAGATTTGGATTCTGAGGGGACATTCTGGTCATTGGTCAGAGGAAAAAAATGCATTCTTTCTAAAAGAATCCTCTTTCTGCCCATTTTCAAAGAGGATGTGGGCTCCTAAATTTAATTTTTGATGCAAAAAAATTCAAATAAATGGAAAGCTTCCGAAACATGGCTATGATCTGTTTCCAAATAGATGGCTTAGTTGTCTTTTGCTGTTATCGGACGATTTACGGGTCCTCGGCTATTGGCTAGGTGGTCGGCCCTTGTTCAGTACCTGTCGTGTGTAGAGTATTATTACACCACACGCTACGTGAGAAAACAGCAAAGCACTTGTCTTCTCAGTAGAGGGAGGTGGGGATTGGGCAGAGCACTCATCAGCTGTGTCTGTGCACATCCACGAAGGGCGGCCATGTCTCAGTTAGAAGCTGACACTGTTCGACCAGGAGAGACTGCAGTAGAAAGCTCACTGGACTGCGAGTCCCTAAAGGGCAGAGGCTGCCTCACTTCCCAGCTCCCTCCACACCCAGCAGAGTCAGCCCCTGTCAGAGGCTAATGAAGGAGGGGCTGAATGCACGATGGCCACAAATGGAAGGTGCTCACCAGGGAAAGTTTGCAGAAGGAGCTCGGCTTTTTTTTTTTTTTTTTTTATTTTGAGAGACACAGAGACAGCATGAGTGAGGAAGGGGCAGAGAGGGAGAGAGAGAATCCCAAGCCGGCTCAGAGCCTGAAGCGGGGCTTGAACCCACGTCGGCTTTTCTTCAGTCTACAATGCGTGTATCTGCTCACCTCCAGGATACACGTCAGATAGTTTCAGAATTGCTGTTTACCATTGCCAGGTCGAGTACAGTGTTCGGATGCAGTTCTTATTGTCTTTGGCCTTACAGTATCCACTGAAAACGCTCTTTTCCGGTGTTCCTTAGGTCAGCAGAGTTCCATCTTAACCTAGACATTGAGGGAGGCACTGGGCATAGATGGTCAAAGAGTGGGAAGGACGTTGTTAATGAGGGAGGCTCACACCGAGGCTTCTGTGCTGTTAGCTGGATTGGCCCATGGGCTCTGCAGAAAAGAGAATTGAGGTTGGTGAGATGAGCAGTGAGGAAGGAGCCAGTGTTAGGACTCAGTTTGATAAATAATTGTGGATAGCAGTTTTGAACCCACTGAAACTCTGTCATAGCTCTATTGAGAAAGTTTACTCTGGGCTCTGTATCTGAACCAAAGAGGCCTGGTAATATAATAAAACCAGCCACAAAGAAGGCACTGCCAAGCCTGCTGTCAAATGCAGAGGATCTGGACTGGGAAGGTGGCAGTCAAGATGGAAATAAAAATGCCAGCATATTTATGTAGATAATGTTATGGTTTACAAAACACACCCTAGTTTCTTCTTCACTATAGTCTTTGTAGTTGGCGAGTTAATATTTGTTGAATGAATGAATGAATAGAATACGTGATTCAGTGAAACTCCCAGTTTACAGATGAGGAAACCGAGGCTTAGATTAAGCAGTGCAAGTATGTGGCAGAAGTAGAATTAGGACCCGGTCTTCTGACTAGAGGTCTTTGAACTCTACCACATACTTTCTGGAAAGGAAGGACAGAGCCACTGAAAGTGTAAGAAAAAGAGGAATGAGGCATGCTCAGTGGTGGGTGGGGTGTGTGAGGTAAGGGAGGCAGGACTGCAGGTGACTTGTGGTGGTAGAGGGTTAAGCTGCTTTAATTGGGCAATTTTTAAAAATTTTGACACGTCTATACCCGTGAAACCACCACTGCAGTCATGACGGTGAAACAGACTGATCACCCCCAAATCACCCCCAAATGTTTCCTCCTACCTTCCGCCCCCAACCCCACCCCCAGTTCCCACACAAGCACTGATCTGCTTTCTTTTGGAAAGATTAGTTTGCCTTTTCTAGAATTTCATATAAATGGGATTATATAGTATGTGTCCTTTTTTCCGTCTGGCTTTTCTCGCACAGCGTTTGAGATTTGTCTACGTTGCTACATGTATGAGTGGTTCATTCCTTTTTATTGCTGAACAGTATCCCATTGTTTGGATAGAATGCAACTTGTTCACCTGTCCAGTTGTTGATGAATATTTGAGTTTCTTGTTTTTAGCTTTTAAAAGTAAACCTGCTATGGGCGCCTGGGTGGCTCAGTTGGTTAAGCGACCGACTCTTGACTTTGGCTCAGGTCATGATCTCACAGTTTTCTGAATTCAAGCCCCGCATTGGGATTCTCTCTCTCCTCTCTCTCTGCCCCTCCCCCGCTCACCGGTGCTCATGCTCTCTCTCAAAACAAATAAATAAACTTAAAAAAAAGCGGCTATGAATATTTACGTATCGATCTTTGTTGGGACATATGATTCTTGTTCTTTTGGGCAGATACTGATGGGTGGAATGTGGTGGGTATATGTGTAACTGGTTAACACATTTCCAAAATGTTTTTGAAAGTGGTTGTGTCATTTTATATTCTCCCCAGTCGTGTATGAGTGTGCAGGGTTTGGAGCATGGAGAATAGGAAGATACAGGTGTCATATTTGTAATTTCTTTCCAATAGTAAAACCACATGGCTTTGGAAGCATTCTTTTTTTTTTTTTTTTAATTTTTTAACATTTATTCATTTTTGAGAGCGAGTGAGTGCATGCAAGTGGGGGAGGGACAGAGAGAGAGAGGGAGACACATAATCCAGAGCAGGCTCCAGGCTCCACCCAAGCTGTCAGTGCAGAGCCCGACGCAGGGCTCTAACTCACAAACCATGAGATCATGACCTGAGCTGAAGTCAGTCACTTAACTGACCAGCCACCCAGGTGCCCGCTTTGGAAGCATTTGTAAGAGAGACTAAATAATAGGTCATGTTTGGAATACTTCAGCGTAGGAGGTGATGGTGCACTGACATTCTGGGTCAAAATGCTAGCTCCAGTAACTTCCTAGCTGTGTGGCCCTGGATAAAACACTTAACCTCACTGTGCTGTGGTTTCTTTATTGGTAGAATGGGGTTAATGGTAGCATTTACTACAAAAGACTCTTGTAAGAATTAAATGAAAATGATGTGAAAAGTGCTCAGCAGAATGCCTGGCGCTAAAATAAGAGCTTCCGGGATGATGACTGTGATATAACAGAGAATATCCTCTTAGAAGGTACATTCTTAACGGGTAGTCAGTTTGCTGTAATGTTACATTAAAAAGACAGACTTGTTGGGGTCATAA